TCGACATTACGATCGATGGTGTCCCGTTTTTCCCATTAATAACTTGACAAGGGAAGTGTATCGCGAATATCGACCATCCTCCGGCTCTGCTGTTGCTCTCCTTCAAGGAGAAAATAATTATGGAAAACACAACCATATTTTTCGTCACGCTCACTTATTGATCTTTGACCATTTCTGTCTTCGTTTCGCCCGTCTCGATTAATCGACCGTTCGAGGGTAACGATAAGGTTTCGGGCAACGATGATGTTAGTTGCTAGGTTAGGTTAACTCTTTCCATGATCTATTGCTTCGTTCGATAAAATGAGAAAATTTGATTTAATTAGATAAGACAAATGAGATAATTTTGAATTTATTGTATATCATTTTTAGATTTAGCTATCGTATTCAAAGAATTAATACTACAATTTTCTTTATAAATAATATATTTATAAAATAATAAATTAAAAATTTAAAGATTCCACATGTGTATATGGAAATTTAAGGTTAGAAGAATTTAAGGTTTCGAGCAGCGACGATGCTAATTGTTAGGTTAGATTTAACTCTTTCGATGATCGATTGTTTCGATAAAGCGATAAAATTTAATTTAAAGATTGCCGATAATGATAATTAGATAAGAGAAATGAAATAATTTTGAATCTATTATGTATATCACTTTCGATTTATCTACTATATTCTGCATATTCAGAAAATTAATATTATAACTTCTTTTATAAATATTGCGAATAAATTAAAAATTTGAAGATTCCACTTACAAAACATCTTACAAAATTTTCCATTTACTTAAGATTTTACTATGACGTCACTATTACGATATACGTATATAAAAATTTAAGGTTAAAAGGGTTGAAATTGACATTTCATATTGATATTTTGCAGAGTTGACATTTTGTAGAATAAAAGAGAAGAAATTTGTTTTTGTGACTTTTGTTTTTGTTTGCTTTATATAATGTATAAATTTTATTGCTTAATCAATATTGCTAAAATAATATTTTATCGAGTATGTATGTATATTATTATTTTTATTTTGAAATTCATTTTTTGAAAAAAATTTTATCCAATTTTATTTGTAATTTATTTTCGTTTAAAAACTTCTTTCGCAATATCTTCATGAAGCGTAAAAACGTTTTCTGGTTCAAGTACAGCGATGAAAGTTCCGAAAGTACATACATACATGTATGTTTAACGTTGATTTTCAAGCAGTTTCAAAAACTATGTTTAAAACGAAGAAGAAAAATATTGAACAAGAAAAATATAGAAAGAAATTTTATTTTTTTAACACTTTCGTTAAGTTTCTCCTGTAACACGAATTTCTTTCTTCCTATTCCATTTCCTACCGTATTAGAAACACAACGAGTCATAATTGATGATGACAATTAATTCACGTATTGATGATCTTGAATGAAACTAATGTTTACAGATCATTTCATTCGAATTGAATGAATGAAAACGTATTATACGAAATAAATCATGTTGTTTGAGACTATATCTTGTTTTGTACTAAATAATATACTAAAATAATATAACATAATTATCATTTGAATTTAAATTTGAAATAATTATTATTCGTGTAAACTTTTTATTTGTATTATATTGTTTCTTTCTAATTTTAATAAAATATTTTACAAAATATTAAAAAAGAAAAATAAAAGGAAATAAAGAAAAAAGATACTATAGATTTCGTTTTATCTCATTTCTGTCGTTATAAAAATAAAAGAAAAGAAAAATGAGTGAATATGCAATAAGGCCTTTTGTTCTCGTGTATTCAACCAAGATTAATGTGACCATACTAGATAAAATTTCGTTGCGTTGCAATCCCTTTCATCTTTTCCTTTTCTCGCGGATAATTTTGCGATGATACTACTTATTATACTCGACTTGTACTTTCCTGCATAACAATTGACATAATATGTGCTCTGTCACATCACTCCTCTCTGCCTTACAAATTCCTCAAGAATTCTCGTTAAAATTAACATACATTACATATTCATCGATACTTTGCATCAGTTTACAAACAATTGCTTGCAATATATATATATATATCTCTTGCTAGTCTTATATGTTTTAAGTTATCGTTTCTTCTATTCGTACAAATTAGAAATAAATATTAGAAATATTTTCCTTGATGAAATATTCTTATTTCAAATGTACCAGAGCAAAATATTTTATGAAATATTTTAAGATTAAATTATAAAATTATATTAGTCGTGTACAATTGTTAAATTCAATTGTAACTAAAATTCTGGGATTATTGTACAATCAGGAATTGATTTATCGTCGTTTTCTAGCCAATTTCTCAAACTGTAATCAAATATGAATCATCCAAGATTAAGAAGATCAAAGAAACTGATCAAGTTCCTCTCCCCTTATCGTAGTTCATAGCTGGTGCTTCTTCATTAATAATTAGTATGCATTGCGTGTTACAAAACACGCTCTGGCTATAATCGTACGATAAAAATTTCACGTAGCATATTTCTTTTCCGCAGATGTTTTGCAATAACAATATATACATCTTTACTGTTCAATTTCGATCCTGTTTAAATTATATAAACTTTTTATCTGAATGTTTTTAATCATGTTTTTAAGAATAAAATAATAATCTTTGTTTTCATAATATTTCAAAAATATGCAGAGATTACCTAAAGAAATGTTTTAGCAAGCATAAAAGTAAATATGCGAAACTTCATCTTTATCTAAACTTCACTTATTGGAAGGAACAATAATTGTATAAATTATTTATTCTTGGAAAGGTTTAAGTGCAATGTCCGATAATTTTTTAGTGAATAAGATAGACGTGAAATTTTTAAACTTACAACTCCTCCCTCTGACGTTGAGACAGCACCATTTTCATGATCCTTGCGTGTGTTTATTGGCTGATACTCAACAGTGATTCAAATGAGCGCGACTAGATTCTTCTCCAGTCAGCTCCTGATTAGTTTAATACCCAGCCATCGACATCGCCTATAATAAAACATAAAATGTTTAATTTTTACTTGAATTCCACATTAATAAATTATATAAGAATTAAAAATTATAATGATGCTGCATTCTAAAAAAAAATTAAAAAAAAATGTATATTAAATATTATAATGTATTATAATGTACAACATTTATAGGATAAAAAAAACGATGGAAGCGATAGTGAAATATTTTTTTTAAATTTCATAGAAATTTTCTTTAAATATTGTTATGAATAATCAATATAATTATTAAATATGATAATTAATAATTATACAGATTTTAAAATTAGATTCCTTATTGAAAGTAAAATTAATTAAAAAAGAAATGAATAAATAATGCTAGAACTAATATAATCAAATACTAGTTTTTTCTTGAATATATTGTATATTTTTGTATATACGTAAAAATATATATTTTTCTGCATAATTTTTCATTTTGAAATTTCTTATAAATAGATTAATATTTATTAAAAGAATTTATTAAAAGAATGAATATGAATTGATAATCTATTATAAGATTCTTTTCACTTTGATTTTTATTAATTATTATTGTATACACATATTATTGAATGTGTTTGTAAAACTTTATTTTTAATTATTATATATAAAATTTCTATTTTTTAATGTAAATAATAAAATATAAATCAAATTTTATAATGCTTTTGATGAAAAAAAAAAGAAAAGATTAGTTAAAAAATATTAAGATAATAAAAAATTTGAGGATGTAATTCAAAGGATGTAAACAATTCACAAAACAATTAACAATAAATAATTCACATAAATAAATAAAAAAAATATAAAATACGAAAAAAACAAAAATGAATTCAATTACAGAAACAAAAAATTAAAAAAAAAAAGTTTTTCTTTTTTATTCAATAAAAAAGAAGAAAGAAATATATAAATATATATCCTCAAATTTTTAATAACAACAATAATATGTGTAAATTCTTATAATTTATTTTACTTTCCATCAATGGAAAAACAAAGCGATTTAACAAAAAAATATAATTTATTTTTTTTACTGCTAAAACAATGAGATTATTAACATTATAAATTTAACATTAAAATTAACATTGTAATTTAATTATAAATTAAAAATAAAAATTACATTTTTTTATTAAATCAAGATTTATGAAAACAATCATTTTTTTTATTTTTTTATTATAAAATTAAAAAAACATAATCTCGACAAAGAAATGATTTTATTGGATTATTTGTATTATTTATATTTTATTAAAAAAAAAATTGATATATGAAGAAAGAAAAAAATATAGTTGTGTTTATAAATATTAAATTTAATTTTTCGTAATATTTATTTCACAGTTAAAACAAAAACTTCATTTAAAAAATAAATGAAATCATTTTTTTTTGAACAAAACAATTTTAAAAACACTATATTTAATCGAATTAATAATATTAATAATAAAGAAAATTTTTATATAAAATAATTTTATACGAATATTATCACAGAAAAAGAAACATTTCACTATATTTTTCTACTATTTGTAACGATTGCACAATAATTGTTAAAGTATAGTATGTATTCGTAAACAACATTTGTAAACATCAACATATATATATTCATATTTTTCACTTTGTTACACTAATTCGTATAAATTTGTATATTTATATTTTAAATGAGATTAAACGCGTTATTTAAACACAAATCAATACATTTTTATCTATGTCATAAATTATAAGTGTTATTACAAAATTTATCTACAAACAACGTACAAGAATCAGAATATTGATTATATTCTCTAACGAAACCCACCCTCGCAATGCAATCCGTGGAATGACATAACATTTGGCAAAATACGCGGGCCACGATCAAATAATAGAAACGAATTGGACAATGATGTTTAAATGACGATTACAAAAGTCTAACGTAATTGGTGAGTATGAAATGAAATCAACCAATTAGAATGAACGAATCGAAAGCGGCCATTTTTCCCCGGTAACATTCGAGTTTGATCGACGACTAAAAAACTTTTGAGAACAATCTTTCGATTGTCTTCATAAGAAATCTTGTACGCAAAGAAACGTGTCATGAGAAGAAATACTTTAAGAGGAAGGACCTTGACAATCGAGAAAGCGCGCTGCGTCGTCGCGACGCTTTATGACGATGCTTATCGGCGCGATGCGCCGTAATCGATAAACCGGCTGTCCGCCCACCCTCGTTGCTGTGTATTTCACCTTACGATGCATTCAAATATTCATGGCGGCCTCCTTTAATTCTTTAATCCAGTCATGTATATAATATATTCTATAAAAACTTATTAATTTTAAATACATCTGATTGACAACATCTGTATTAAATACATTGTTTTTTTTGACATTTATTTTTCGTATTTATTTTATTATACTAACCAACTTATATAATTTGATAATACTAAATTTTTGTAATAAAAATTTATCTTTCTTAAATTGAAGAAACTTGAATTTATAATGAAATTTTTATAATATTAAAAAAAACACAAATATTATTTCAAACAGAATTGTATCATTGTATCATCAATTGTATCATTGAGAAATTGTTTTCTAATTTGTGTAAAACGCATTTATATGCAATATTAATGACCAATGATTTTTTTGTAAGCTATTTCCGGGATCATCAGTACGGGTGAGCGACTCTTGGCCTTCTCGACCCCGCAACTACACTACGACAATCTACCTGTAGCTTCACTTTTCTTAACTAATCTACTTACATATTAGAATGAAAAATTAAGTTAAGATCATTGATTGATTCAAACATCAAAGCAATTTATTTTTCGCGCGTTCAAAAAGATAAAATGAAATTCATTTACTAATAATGCTAATTTTCAAGAAAAATATGCATAACTTTAAAAAACTTCAACTTATCATAAGAATTTATAAATAATCATTGCATTTGTATTCCACGTAGGAATATCAATAAGAATTTAATTCGATGACAGACTCGACAGCTGATCGCTGACTCGACAGCAACTAGTACAAACAACGTCTGTCAAAAGATGCAATCAGAACATTATTGTAGATTACTTGACAGATAAGATAATGCTCAAGTCTAAAGAAAATGAAATTCAGTATAAAAGTTTACGTACGATGGCTCAGCAGTTGCGACAAAGCGGTTGTACTACCGCACAACGCAAACGGTCATTCGCGAAAAAATCAATTCGAAGTGACGTGCAACATGTATGTTGAATATGTGTGGAACATAGTTGGATGACTGACTGAAAGTCATCAACCAGAGTCTAAATCGGTTTTTGATCAAATATACACTGTCAGACAATGTCACGTCGGTCAAAAAGCGCTGCTACAAAATCGTCGGACGAACGCGGAACAACCGTTTGTTGTAAATCGTGCACGGCCATTTTGCTAGAACCTGTCACGTCTGGTTGCTGTAGATTTTAGAGTCAGATCAACCTACGAAGTAACGAATACAATGTGGGAATCGAAGCTCACATATTTAGCATTCGATACTCACTCTTTTTGTCGGAGTAGTAATAACCGGGATCCTTTGAGATCGGAAAAAAAATCACAGGAAAACCGGACGAACACAACCACCGAAGAACTACTGGAGATAACTTCTGCGATAGGACTGTCTCACAAGGTGGCGCCTGTGAAAGTCTTCTTTCTTAACGCATGCGCTAAATATCGATGTCACTAATCTCTCACTGCCCGAGAGAACTATATTTCGATTATTGTAGTCACTAGGGAATTTTCCATTAATTGCATTTACTTACATATTTCTATAAGAACTTTAGGGAATCTTGAACACACGTAAATATTTAACAATCGCAATCTTTTAATATTGTAAATAGTTGTAAATAAAAAAAAGAAATAAATAAATATTTATAACATTAAACAAAATATTAGTTTTTATCGAAACATTTTTGAAAATTTAGAATTTTGAAGAGGTTAAGGTAATACATCAACAAAAAATCATCAACAATGTAAACATTAACATAATATTGATGAAATTTTATTGTCAACAAAAATTTATTTACATTCAATATTGTTAAATTTATTGTTTATAAACTTTTTTAGGTAAGATTTAAGAATAAATTAAATCTGTTACGTCGTCAACCGGCGACGTAACCTGTTTCTACTTATGTCTATCTTTACATGTTTTGTAAATTTTAAATTTGTAGAACTATACTATTTAAAGAACCAAAATCGAAATTTTGATGGCTTTTTCACAATCAAATTCAAGAGGTAATATTATTTATAATTATTATTATCTTTTTTTTTTTAATAAAAACGAAATCCTTACTTTCACTGATTGCAGAATTACAAAACAGAAAAATTTTGGAAGAATTGCAATTAAAAAAACAAATGCTTTTAAAGCAAGGTGTGGCACCAACATTGAACACATCATTAGTAACTTCAACAGGTTCCCCTTCTAATTTGGTAATATATATTTATATATTATTTTTGTTTAAATTACAAAATAGAATTATATATATTTTTAAATATTTTTATTTCTTAGCCTTCTACACAACCCTCTGATGGTGTTGCTATGAGTGCATCCCAAAGAGCTGCCTTACATAACGCACATGCAGCATCATCAGGATATTTTGTAACACAGGATTCTTCTTTTGGCAATCTTATTTTACCAGTTCTTCCTAGATTTGATACTAAATAAAGAACTTAAATTGCATAATTTCAAATTATATAAATGACTATGCAGACTTTAAATTGTGTGATGAAAGTGATTTTGAACTATATATGTTTTTTTAAGTGCGCTTCTTATAGTGAAATTAAAGCATAAGGTGATAATTAATAATTAATCAAAATGGCTAACATTCAACTTCGTGAGTTAGAAGAATATTTACAACAGTTGGATGGATTTGATAAACCAAAAATATTACTTGAACAATATTGTACTAGTGCTCATATTGCATCACGCATGTTGTACTGTGCTGAAGTTCAATTTAATGATATAGAGGGACATTCAGTAGGTGACTTAGGTTGTGGGTGTGGTGTTTTATCACTTGGGGCACAGATGCTTGGAGCAAGTCATGTAATTGGTTTTGAAATAGATTCTGATGCACTTAAAATTCAATCTAAAAATTGTAATGAAATAGATTTGTTTGTGGAAACTGTACAATGTGATGTATTACAATATTTACCAGGTAAGCTTGTAAATATATAAAATTCATTTATAAAAATTTATATAAATTTTTATATTATTATATTACAGGCCGATTTGAGAAGTACTTTGATACAATTATTATGAATCCACCATTTGGTACAAAACATAATACAGGTACAGATATGAAATTTTTAAAAGTTGCAACCAAATTAGCATCAAATACTGTGTATTCATTACATAAAACAAGTACCCGTAACTATATTCTTCAGAAAGCTGCACAATATGGAGCCAAAGGCAAAGTTATTGCAGAACTGAGATATGATTTACCAAAAGCATATAAGTTTCATAAAAAAATGTCTGTAGATGTTCAAGTGGATTTTATACGATTTGAATTAAATTACTAAATATTTTCATGAAAAAATATTGTACATCTTAACTAATTATTCGAATTTTAGACCTTGAGCTAACGGCATTTCATTTCCATAATTAATAGTTATAGTGGTACGTCGCATGTAATTCTTCCATGCATCACTTCCACTTTCGCGACCACTACCTGTAGCTTTTTCTCCACCAAATGCACCACCTATTTCTGCTCCACTAGTTCCAATATTAACATTTACTATTCCACAATCTGAACCATGAGGACCCATCCACTACACAAAAATATTTATATTTCAACATTATCATAATTTAATATAAACAATATATATAATTACATACTTACCTGAAATATATTTCCTAAATTTTTGGTAAATAAGGAGCTGCTTAATCCTTGTTGTACATTATTATTAATAGCAATAGCATCTTCTAAAGAATTTGCTTCAAGAACGTATGCAATTGGTGCAAAAGTTTCTTTTTGAACAATTCCAGTATTAGGTGATAAACCAGAAATAAGTGTTGGTTCAACATAAAAACCAACTCTATCTATTTGTTTTCCACCGAATTCAATTTTGCCACCACTTTGTATAGCAGTATTTATTGCTTCCTAAAAATCGTACATTTATTTCTTAATATAAAATTAAAATTTTCGTAGAAATATTTTTATTTATTGAAATAAATATATTTAAAATAAATTTATTAAAAATAATATTTAAAAAATTTTAATTATTTGGATTATTTATTATGATATTATTTTTTTGGTGTAAATTGAGATATTTAGAAGCTTATATAAAAATATAATATTAAAAAAGAAATTGAAAAATAAAATTTTCATATTATATACTATATACAAATTTCATACTAGATAGAATATAATAAAAATATATTACCTTATATGCATCAACTGCATTTTGATTAAGCAATGGTCCATATAAAACATTATTATCTAAAGGATCTCCTATTCGATCCAAAATACTTTTCAATGCAATTTTCAATTTTCCTATAATATTTGCATATTATTTATTTAAATATTTTTTGTACTAAATTTAAAATTCATTAATATTTTAATTAAAATATATAATTTTACCTAAAAATTCATCTTTTATTTTGTTGTGAAGAATTAATCTTCTAGTAGCTGTACATCTTTGTCCAGCTGTTGCTGTACAAGAGAACATTGCTGCTCTAACTGCTAAATCTAAATCTGCATCTTCATTAACTGTTATAAAAAAAATTCATATGCTATAATTATGTAAGGACGATATAACTATTATATTATTATAGTTTTATTTACCTATCAATGCATTATTGCCTCCTAATTCTAACAAACATTTTCCGAATCGTTCTTGAACTTTAATAGCTACATTTCTTCCAATTTTAGTACTTCCAGTAAATGAAATTAAAGGTATACTAAAGAAAAAAATAGTAATATATTAATATAATATTATACTAAAAACAAAAAATTTATCAAAATTTTTGTATTTTACCGTGTATCATTAACAAGAGTTTCACCAACATCTGATTCACCAGTTATTAAACTTGCAACTGCACCTGATACACCATTTCTTTCTAATACTTTTGAAATAATTTTTGTGGTTGCAATAGAAGTTAATGAAGTAGTAGGTGCTCCTTTCCAAACAGATGTATTTCCACATACCATTGCTATTGCACTGTTCCAACCAAATACCTAAAATATTTTTCTATAATTTTAATTATTTTTTCAATTTTTATCATTTATTTTTAAGTTCCACATACTGCAACAGGAAAATTAAATGCAGAGATAATTCCAACAACTCCAAGAGGATTCCATTGTTCTAAAAGTGCATGATTTTTTCTTTCTGATGGAAATATATTGCCAGGCAGCATTCTAGATAAGCCAACAGAATAATCACATATGTCAATAAATTCTTGAATTTCTCCAATACTTTCTGGCAATATTTTGCCTATAAAATTAAATTTTGAAATTAAATAAAAATCAAGTTGAATAGGAAAAATTATAGAAAAATTATAGAAAGTAATATAGAAAATATACCCATTTCTAAAGACACTAATTGTCCTAATGGTTTTAAGTTTTTTCGCAATTCATCTCCAATTTGTCGTACTATATCGCCTCTTGCAGGTGCAGGTAATGATGCCCATTGAATCCATGCTTCATGAGCTTTTGTAATAGTATTACTTGCTTCTTGAGGAGTTGATGTTCTAATTTTTGCTATTACTTTGCCAGTTGCAGGTGAAATTGAATTTATCACCTGCATTATAATATTATAACATTAACGAAATCATTATTTTATTAACTTATTAGTATTAAAAATAATTTTAAATAATAATAATGAAATAAATAGAATTCCCGTAAAAAAAAAAAATATCAAAAAACAAAATAAAAAAAAATACCTTGCCAGATCCTCCCCAATGTCCGTCATAAAGTCCTGGATTTTCAGTTGTAAGACCTAATTGATTCAAAAATCCATATTTCGGATCAGTGACTAAGTGTCTAACCATTTGCCATTGTGGAACATTATTTCTTGACAGTAAACGAAACATTGCTAATTATTTAGTACTAACAGTTTGCAGCTTCTGCCACAATATAAGAAGACTACGGGTTATCAAAATAGCCGCTTATCGAAAAAAAAGGAGGGATGTGATAAGTTTAAATCAATAAATATCTCAAGAAAGTGCAATTAATTTTGAACTTTATACATATTACAAAATAATTTTATAATTAGTATTATTACTAATTTAATAATAATATGTAACATTATTTAAAATTTAAAATAAATATTTTTTTTTATATATATTATTTATATTTGCTTCATTAATAGAAATATGCTTTTTCAATAAAATTTATGAACAGGTGAATTAGAAAATATAAATGTAATAATTAAAACATTAGAAAAACGCGTTTTATTCCGTAACAATAATGCTACCAACATCACAATGCGATACGGCAGTGATTTACACAGAATAATAATAATTCAAAAGACATTTGTTCGTTTATATTTTATGCTTAAAAAATCTTTGATATATCCTTTGAGGCATGGAAATACATTTGTTTTTCTTAAATTTCATTATTGAAATTATATTAAACATGTTATTGTAATTCGTTTGAATATGATTATTTCAGCCAGGTCGACAAAATTGGTAACATCGTAGATCAGAGATTAATTGCAATACTGATCTTGTTAAAGTTGGTTGATCCTATTAGTATATAACAAAATCAATAAAAATATTTTTTATTAACTATTTCAAAAATCAAAATTTTTAAATTTAACTTACAGTAGACTTATCAAAATTTCCTAATAATGTAGCTTTTTGCATATCGTCTACGCCTTCACAACTTGTTAAAAATGTCGGTAAAAAATGTCCAAAAAACCATGCTATATTAACAGAAGCTAAACTATGAATAGCAGTTGCAATTTCATCTGCTAATAAATTATGGGATCTGAAAATGAATATTGTTAAAATGTTTTATTATTTTAAATAATAAATCATGTTTAAAAAATATTCAACTAACTGTTGAAACAGAACAGTAAATAATGCCATTAGAAATCTCTCAAGTAAATGAACTTTAAATACAGCTCGTTGATAAAGCCGCCATCGTACATTTAATTGTTCAAGACTTTGTAAACTTTGACGAAATATGTTAACATCTGGTTGAAGAAGAGCTTGACCAAAAGCTTCTAAAATTGCAACTAATTCTTCTTTATGCTCAACAGATTCTTCTTCGTCAGTATGACCAAGAGTACGTAATATCGAAGTATTATAAAAATATTGCCATCGATGCATAAGTATACTAAATAAAATATTTTACATTTATTAAAATTATATTAACAATTAAAATAATCAAAATAAAATTAATTCATTACCTATGGAAAAGTTTTAATAAAACGAGTGTAGTATCTGGATGCGCGCTAAGATCATTTCCGACAGCAGGCCATACTTGACCTAAGCATAAGTTAGTCACTGAAGGAACAAATGCTTTAAATGCACTGCTAGGTGCTGATACGACTAATATTAAAATCTCTAATAATTGATCTAATGCAGGTCCTGCGGATATATTTTCTCTATAAATGAATAAAATATGAAATAAAAAATTTTTATTACGTTATTTTGTTACGTTACAGTGAAAAATAATAATAAATTTTATTAAGAAATTTAAGTAACAAAGATTAAGTAACTTACCTGGTATAAATATGTAACATTCCTTGAACTGCATTTTGAGTAAATTCCGGGCCCAATTGTTGTTGTAGTACTGAAAATACTGAATGCAAAAAACGGAGCAAGACTTCGCATACACTCTGACATCTTATCATAAATGGCAATAATTCTAATGTTCGATTTATAGTTGATCCCAAACATGAATGTAACATTTTTTTTATCGTTGTAGATGAAGCGGAACAGTCTTCTAATAATTGAGTAAGTGGCACAATTGTTATTGAAATTGTAGATTCCGAAGGTACAGGTTGCCCTTCTAAACCGAGAGGCGTAGATAATGTTGATATCATCGTGCCTATTTAAATTAAAATAATATATTTATTTCTAATAATTATTATTTAAGCATTTAAATTTAGCAATTTAATAATTTTTAAAATTCATTTACCTAATAATCTTTCTCTAATAGATCCATCACCAGGTGGTAAGATAATTGCATTTACTAATGCTCTTCGCAATACTTTTATTGTATCAGGCTTGAAAAATGGATATGTTACCATAGAAATTAAGTTTCTAAACGCAGGTTCATCCCATAAAACTGGTTTCAAAATAGCAGTGATGCTTTGAAAAAGATGTGTAGCGGAATGAGTTAAATTTGTTGGTGGTGGATTGTCATAGAATGTTGTATAATCTAATGCTAAAATACATGAATCAATACATCGTTGACAAAGTGATTCTTTTATTTTTTCTGGTCTGTTAACTATCCAATGACACCAAGCTTGAAGAGATGCTAACAATTGTGAATGACTAATCAGAAAAATAAAATATAAATATAATAATAATTTTGTCAAAACAAATGATTTGCTTCATAAATGTTACTTACACTTCTATGAGATCTATTACAATTGCAGCTGGTTGCAATGATGCTTTATATAACTGATTTGTTTTAGCAAATTTACATGCATCTAATGTCTGAGATATTAATTCTTCAGCTAGTGACTGGTCAATACTTTGATCATCCCCTGTTGTTATAAAAAATTATTTATAAAATATAATTATCTTATTATTAAGGATTAATTTACCAAGAAAAAGTGAATATAATCTAGCTAATGCTTGAGTAGTAGAAGCTAAGTCTCGTAAATGTGCATGAACATTTGATGCCTCTGATTCATTTAACAAAATAACTTGATTATTAGCAATAACGGATCCTAATTCTCCAAAAATTATTAATCCTTCCCTCCAAGAACGATACTAAAAAAATTTTTAATGATTAATATCTACAAATTAAATTGTAATATATATATATATATATATAAAATTAATTTAATATAAAAATACCAATAATGTAAAAATTGGAATTGGAGATATATCTGCTATTTTCGCTAAACATTCTATGTTACATCTTAAGAAATGTTGCCATTCTGTTTCTTCCTGAAAAAAGATATAAAGATTAAAATAAAAATAAGCTGAAAACAATTAACATAATTAAATTTTGTGAATTTCCTTACATTTTCATCCAAACTTTCTGTATCAAGATCTTTCAATATACGAGTATTAAGTTTAAAACTCATTTTTTGCAATACTCTTTCGGCAAGAGCTAAAGCTACTGGAGAATAACGGGATTGAGTACTTTCTAAAAGAGTAGTCCAAACATCTAAACATCGTAGATATCCATTTACTGTTGAACATTGTTGAAAAGTATGATGACACAAAACTTCTAATAATGTATTTACTGGAAATTTTGAACACGATTCAACTCTTTTTAGATGATTTGTTACAAATAATTGTAAGAATTCCGTCAATTTTTCCATGTAACTAAAAATACAATATTTTATAAATATAAATATTTATAAGATTTTATTTAAAAATATTTATTTAAAGATTACTTAATACCTTTCATTAATAGAATCTAAACGTTCCAGAAGCTGAAATAATGTGACTCCATTTTGAAATATTTCTACTAATAATCTATCAGTTACATCAGGTGAACATAATGGTCTATATAAAAGTTCATTTATTGTGGTCACGGCTTGTACAGCCATTTCAATTTGTTTACCATTCTATCGATAATATATATAATTAATATAATTAGTATAGTGGATAAAATATAATAACTAATATATTTGTAAAATCCTATATATTTGTAAAATATTGTAAAATCCTACCATTGCATCATGATACCTGGCACAGGTAAAAATGGCATCCAATAAATTTGTAGAAATATGTTCTGATAATTCAATCCAACTAAACAAGTGTGCTAATACATCTAATGTTGCTATGCATACTTCATTAGTTCCTGTGGCTAATCCTTCTACATCTAGAATAGTTCTTGCAGTTGCTACAGTTTGTCCACTGGTGGGTGATGGGGGTGGTGTAACTGTTCCAGAACGATTTTGTAATTTTGTTGTTTCTTTTAGAAGAACTATATATAAAAAAATAATAACATCTTTTAAATAATATCTCTAAATATTTCAATATTTATTTAAATAATATGTATTTAAATTATAAAAATAAATTTGAAATAATTTTTACTTTAAATTTAAATGAAATTAATAATGCAGAAGAAATTGTACTTGTAAGAGTATCCAAAGTCAAAGGCACTTGAGCACTAAGAAACCTAAATAACTCATTTTTCCTTTGTATTGGTAAATCTTCTCTTGGAGTTGCTAATTCTTCTGAAGCTGTTCGCAAATAGATAAGACCCAATAATCTTGTATGCTTGTGACTTAATAACTGTCAATATATACAAGAAAATAAAATTTTAGATTGAAATAATTTATTAATAATTTCAATTCCATACCAGCATATATACAAACCTGTAAAATATTTGAATAAAAATCTGGATAAAAATGTGGCCAGTCATGCCTAGCAATATCTACGACTAGTTTGACTACTTTGTTTCTTACAAAAGGAGCTACACCTCTTTCTAATGATAATGTATATAAAGTTGATCGTGTAAGAGCTTTGTCTTCCCATGGAAGTATTGGCCATCTTCTTCCTATTGTTGTCTATAATAATATTTATTATTCAATTAAATCTATAATCTTTTTTTCTTTAATCCAAAATTTTATTAAATTTTTTTAAATTATATAATATAAATAAATAGTTTAACAAGATATACTTTTAAAAACAATATATTATAATATTATTTTTTGTATTCACATTAAATAAAAATATTCAATTGTAAAAAATGAAAAGTAAATTAAAGAATTTAATTATGTTAGTTCATACCTCTAATGTAGACAAAGCAAACATACTGACATAATGATTGTTAGTAGAAGACAAAAAATGTAAACAAGGTCTCCAGGAATCAATTTGTCCTGCAAATTCCTGAAAACTTCGTTCAATTGTACGTTTTCGTTCATTATTTGTCTCTGGAGAAAAAAACTCAGTCATAAGATGCTCCAAATTCTGTAGAGCAGCTGCATCATTGTCCTGTAATTTAACATTTACTTTGCACTTCACTAATAATAGTCAATTAAACAGAAACATAAAAGTATTATATAAATGATATAAAAAATATTACACATATTATAGTTTTAATTATAGTTATCACTTTAATCTTTTGATTTAAATCTTTTAAAATATGTTTTTAAATTTATTTAAAAATCATTGTAAATATAAATTAAAAATATTTTGCTTCTCTAATTTTGAAATAAAAAAAGAAAATTAATTCTTATAAAATTGTTGAATCATTAAAATGAATCAATGTTTATTATATCTATAAAAATTAAAACTATGGATATTTTTAATGTATTTTAATATATTCTTTATTTAATGTAATCGAAATTAAAAAAACACATTTTTAATAATAGATATTAAGACACATTTATTTGTTATCTTTAAATATTTGTTAATATATTTGTATTTGTTTTTTAAAATAATTTGAATATCATTTATGGAATTATTTAATTATATAAGTATAAATTTTTAGTTGATTTACAATATATTATACATGTGTTTAATTATAAATATAAAACGAACAATTATTTCACATACCATGATAGCTACAGTCAAATAGCGCGTGTAGCTATAAATACAGTATATAAATACACAAATCACACAAGGTTAGGCTCTTAGTTGTCAAACGTCATGTTTGAAGTAATAAAGTAATTAAATATTCGATTTCTCGATTGGTAAAATATTATTCAATATATATTTCTGACATATGTGTATCGAATGTAAGCCATTATACCATTGCTAGAAGTGTAGCCAATCGTAGGAAAGAATGAAAAAAGTGAACTTCCTTATTGAAGGATCATTTCGATCATTATTTTTACCGCGAAAACTAAAGCTTTTAATTTAGATGAATTTTTTATATGTAATTTTTAAAATCGCTTTTTTTATGTTATTAACAATTTTAAATATTTCAAATATATAGATTTACTATTACTAATAATTATTATTTAATTCATTAAATTTTATTTATTTTATATTTCATGATAAAAAAATCTTAATAAATCATAATAATCAAAATTAATAAAAAATAAATATATAAATATGTAATCTAAATATTGAAAGTATGTTACAAAAATAAAGTTATAAATGTTCATTATATGAATAATAGTTAATAAATGACAAATATTTATTATTTATTATCTACATTATCATATTGTTACTATTATTTTATTTTTAACATAAATTAAAATTTTTATTTCATATCGTATTTATTTCACATCATTTTAATTTATATATATTTTCTAAAATATATATTTAAAATATATATTTAATATCATAATTGTTAGATGCATAAATTAATAATAAAAATCTAAAAATTAATAAATTATTGATCATTGTATTCAAAAAATCGCTTTTAATGCAATCGGTAAAGAACGTATATTTTCGTCGAACTTCGTAACTACTGCTACGACTTTATAAATACAAGACACGTCGCGAGACAGAGTATATTTTCCAACGAACCTTCGTAATGAACGGATCGGAATTATTAACATTATAATTATACATTATTATTATTATCATATAAAAGTATTATATATATTATATATTATTATATTATTATATATATATTAAAATTATATAATTAAATTTTACGTTTAATATTGTTGCAAAATATTATGATACATATTATTCATTCTATTTTTTAATTAATAATTTATCGCTATTTTTACTTTTTTATTCACATATTTAATTTATTTAAATATTTCTTATTTATTAATTATTCGTATATTTATTTACTAATTTATTTATTCATTTACTTTTTCATTTGCTTATACATTTATTTATATTTTATTCACTTATTTATATTTTATTTTTAATTTTTTTTTTAATTTA